GAACAATTTCACTCAAAGTATACCTAGACACAGGAGAACTATTGTCGTGAAAGTGTTGTACAGTCGATTACGAATTTAGATTGCAGAGAGTTTGTTCTGAGCGCTAAAAGCACTCACGATAGAGCACTTTTTGCTTTATTCTAACATACGTCAAGGAAAATACTCCAAGTTCAAAGATGGGACCAAACCTGGAAAGACTGGAAAAGATTATCCAAAATGGAAAATACCACCAATTCCAAACAGTTGGGCACCAATGATGACCAATGGAGTTTGGAAGTTACTCCATGATTGGAAGCAATTTGCAAATGGAACCACAAAAGATCCGATGTTGATTCTAGAAAAGTTTCGCATCACACAACAAGATTCGTGCATTGAAGAGAAACACCCAAAGAAAAGAAAGAACCGTTGTGGAAACCGCAAAGAGGACCACGTCAGTGATGGTGATTCTGATGATGACAATGATTCTTCTCGGCCCACACCTACGAAGACGACCCGATTTGTTCTGGCGTCTCCAAGACTAAATCGCAAAACTGGTAGAAAGCAAATCAAGATAGTCACCGACATCAAATCTTGAAAGACCGGCAGTCGTTCTCCAAAAAGACAACGTCATGACAAGAGAACGATGCGCCGAATCGAAAAGCCACCAGACCCCGAAGAAGATATCCTGATCGCTGACAGTGGAGCTGATCAAATTATTTTGGGAGTCGTATGGCGTGTACTCAAGAATACAAGTCAATATGTGAACTTACTTGGACCACTGGCAGGCCGACATCAAGGAGCAATTTTCAATGTCGTGTCAGCTGCTGCTAAGTTGATAGATGAGAATGGCCAAGAATGGTGCGCTATTGCCCATGAAGGCCTAATGGACCGAGACAAAGAGCAGAAGGAATCTCTACTAGCTTCAGCCCAGGTACAACGTGCCGGCAACGCGATTGCAACCGAGATGCTCTGGATACCCGTGGTAACCCTGGTACTCAATGTTGCCGTATTGGCGAAAACGAAGTACCATTCTTCTTTGATGGAGCAAAATGTTTTTACAAATTGAAGCCAATCACAAAAGAAGAATTGAAGTCACTCCCACGCCTTGTCTTTTCGCAGGATACCCCCTACGAAAATACTGAACGAGTCATCACTCGGCGCTTGTCGCCAGAGGAGATTGAATGGAAACGTAGATTGGGATTCCCACCAGACAAAGTAGTCAAAGCGATTTTACAAGCGACGACCCAGATGATCCCTCTGGTGGAGGCCGAAAGCCGTGAAATAATGCGAGATCATCTCAAGTCCCGTTTACCAATGTTGAGATTACAAAGAAGGAACGAAACTAACTTCTTGGATACGTTCAAGTCAAGTGTCACATCCGTTCGCGGATACAAGTACTTCAATCTCTTCGCTGCCGAGAAATCACTGTATGACAATGTTCATTTGATGATGCGTAAATCTGATTCTCCGGCGACTATCAAGGACCATTTCCTATGTGCTGGAGCCCCTCATACTTTGAAATCCGACAATGCAATGGAATTTAAGTCCGATAAAGTCAAGAAAATTTTGAGAGAAGCCTACGTTGAGCCTCTCTACACTGAGCCACACCATCCGCAACAGAATCTTGCTGAAGCCCGTGGTGGCAGGCTCAAGCACGCTGTCCAACATCTGTTGACAGTAACCCAAGCACCATTAGAGTTTTTGTGTTATGCCTTGGAATATTTGGCATATCTTCGACAACGTACTTCACGAAAGAAATTGAAGAACAGGACCTCAATTGAAGCCATCACCGGTGGAATTCCGGACATCAGTAAAGCATGCTTTACATTTTGGCAACCTATTTGGTTCTACACTCCGCGCCGTCCTTTTCCAAGACAACAAATGTTACCTGCGAGATTCCTTGGGTTCAGTGAGAATTCCGGAGATGCTTTCACTGACGTGATTGCTGTCGAACCTGAGAAAGACGGGGAAATGTACCAAGTCTATACTCGATCGGTCATTCGTCCGCGATATTTGAGGAAAAGTCAACCATCTGACGCATCTCTGGTGATCCGCAATGAAGATAAGTTGGAGATCTATGGCAGAGATGGGAAGACACCATTGCAATACGAGGAGGATCCTGATGATGTGATTGAACTTGACCCATCAAAGTTCCCACACAATCCTTTGCCTCAAGACAACACGGTGGAACCATCACACCTCGAAGTTATTGACAAATTTGAAGATGCGATCCACGCCGTGTATGGACCACCTGCTGAGAAACGCCTTCGAATCGACGATTCTTCTTCAATTCCCCTCCAAACGGCAGACAGATTCCAGATTCCGTCTAGCCAAACAGAGGAGAATGTCGATCCCCACGAACAACCTAAAGAGGTCAATCCCCACAAAGTCGCCCAAGGAATCACAATCCCACAGGTCCCAGCTGCAACAGAAACCCCTGTCCCGGGTGTGCCTCATCGGGAGCCAGCAACTGTTACCCAACAAGATGATGACGATCAATCTGTCGATTTGGTCGCCTCTTCAGAGGAGACCGATGAAATGGTGACACCAGATTCTGTGGATACATATCTAAAGTACATCGCTGGAGATGACGGCAATATGTGCTTGTTCGATTCAATTATTGGACACGAATTTTGGGAAGGAGAGCTCTACCTCAAGGTCCAGTGGAGAACAAATGATGTTTCTATGGAAGTTTTCCGCGATGTACGCGAGGATTACCCGTACGAAACCGCTATTTACATTTGAGACAACAAAATAGGGACTGCAAGAGGTACAAATTACATTGGCCCCCATCAACGTTGGTCCCAAACGTTTTAAAGAAATCCGTGTTCTGCGTCGATTCCTACGCCATCATGGCTACCAAGAACCGATGCGTGAGAGCGCTGTATTTATCGTCCCAGATGAAGACCCCTCATACACACTTCACTACACCAAGATCCTTCCTCGGAATTGTCCCAGGACAGCGAGACGAGCGAAAAAGCCTGGACGAAATCGCCGCCAAGTGACTATCAAGTTTGGTGTGAAGGTTCCTATGAGTGTGAGTCAAGCATTGGAATTTGATCAAGAAAATGGGAACAACAAGTGGCAAGAAGCAATGAAGAAAGAGATTGCACAACTTGTTGCACTGAATTTTTTTACTTTTCATGCCTCCGACTACATACCTGATGCTGATTCTCAAGAAGCAAAATTGACAATGATTTTTGAAGTGAAACAGGATGGTAGACACAAGGGTAGATTGGTTTGCAATGGACACAAGATCGATCCTCGAGGAATATCAACAAGGTCGACTGTTGTCAAGGGCATTAGCGTCCGTCTATTGGATGTTATTGCACACAGAGATAATCTAAAGATCATTCAAGGAGATGTTGGAAATGCATTTATCACCGCCGACTGTTTGGAGAAGATCCACGCCCGAGCAGGTCGTGAGTTTGGAGAAGCCAAGGAAGGATGCATTGTTACATTAAACAAAGCATTGTACGGGCTCCGCACTAGTTCCAGGGCATACCGGGAGACTTTTGCTAAGTTCCTGCGAAATTTGGGCTTTGTTGCAACTTGCTATGACCGTGATGTTTGGATGCGTCTTCGCGAGACGAATGATGGTTACGACTATCTCTGTACCCATGTCGATGATTTCAAAATTGTGGCAAAAGATCCCTAAAAGTGGGTGGATGCAATTGCCCGGTCATTCCAGCTTAAATACTCGGGTGCACCTGACTACTATCTTGGCATGGATTATAAATTCAACGAAGAGGAACAATGTTGGCAAACTGGCACCTTCACATTTGTAAATGAATGTGTAACCCATATTGAAGCTCTGCTTCCTGATCGGCGTCAGCTACAAAAACACACCACCCCTTTGCCTTCAGAAGACTACCAGCCTGAAGAAGATAAGTCTGAGTTTCTCTCTAACAACGGGAAGCGCCAAATTCAAAAGATGATTGGCATGGCTTAATGGGCAGTTACGATTGGCCGCATGGACATCTGTCATGCAGTATCATCGCTGAGCCGATTCTCGGACGCCCCCCGCGTTGGACACATGGAACTAGCCTTTCATCTATTTGGATACCTCAAAAAGTACAAAACAAAGCAGCTCATCATCGATTCAAAACCTATGAAAATTGACCCCGCGATTTTCAATCCCGAAGATCCAGATGCATCTTTTGATCCTGATTTTTTGAATGAATATCCTGATGTGGGAGAGGAACATGATCCACGAGAGCCAGCAGCCTTTGGTACTGAATTAGAGACATCCGTACTGTTTGACGCTAACCATGGCCACGACAAACGAACTCGCCGTTCAATCTCTGGCATATTGGTTTACTTCGGATCTACATTGGTATTATGGTCCGCAAAACGTCAGGTCTGCATCGCCACCAGCACATATTCCGCTGAGTTTATGGCTATGCGCACCGGCGTAGAGGAGGCCATATCGATTCGCTACATGCTACGTTCATTGGGTGTTCCGGTCACCAAACCAACCCACATGTTCGGTGACAATATGTCTGTCATCAATACACCCAGCTTATTGAATTTGGAATTGAAAAAGAAGCACATTGCGATTTCTTACCACATGGTCAGAGAGGCAGTGGCAGGCAGAATCGTTCGTCCCATTTGGTGCAATACCCACAAAAATTGGGCAGACATTTGTACAAAATCATTGGGAGGCAACGCATTCCACGCAATCCTTGATAAAACTATGCTTTGATTGCGTTATGCCTCCACTATTCAGCCAGGAAATCCAAACAGCAGCCATTTCAATCGTTACATTAGTTAACCATATCCTATACTCCTAGATATCGTATCTGATCTGTTCTTGTGCCATCAGGCATGAGAGGAGGGAGGTCGGAGGCGTTTGTCTGACAGTCAACAGCCGAAGAGGAGGTCAGGATAGAGTCGTCTGTCCGTCACACGTAGCACAGTCACTGACCAGAGAGTCACCTAATGTAACCACTCTAATGAGTTCCTGACAGATTCCATTGGAATCATCAACATGGTAGCCTGGAATGCCTGAGACTACCAAAAAATCAACCCTGATATTGACATTCGAATCAAAATGGTTCCCACCATGCCCAAACTCTTTCAAGAAACCGAGAATGACGCTCGCACTGGAGGGTCCCTGTTTCATGCCTACTTTACAAATCCGACCATATTGGGATCGGCGGCCACCTTGAATGCCTTTTTGGATCTGACTCCATACGTTAGAGATAGTCAATATTCGGATTGGGTGGCTTTAAGGACGCACGTGACGAGTTTTGAAGAAAAGATTTACATTATTCTGTTGGAAGGGGATACTCATGCTTTTTTTAATCGCAAGGACGTTTTGGAACACTTTGGATTAGAACCACCAAGGACTTAGAACGAATACACACAAGTGGCGGCCGCGGTGCATGGCAAGGAATTAATGGCCAAGAATTGTATGGGTCCTGTGTGTCCAGGCTTGAGGGAGATCATGCCATGTAGTGGAGCCATCTCTTGCTGAGTAGTATTACCCAAACAAGTGGCACCAGCACAGGAAGTCTATTTGATACAAAAGACATGAGACCCTTGACAGGAGAAGCAGTAGCTGCTTCGTCCCATGAAATGCACAATCAATATGGAGCCACGGATGGTACGAGAAATATTTGTTTGCCATCATGAGTTGTCATTGTCACAAGTGTTTGATTCACCACCCTATGTCTCCTTCCATTTGCAGAATTTCTAAAGGAGGCCAACTGGATCAACAATGTACACATGGATGAAGGGCGGTGTGTTCTTACATATATGTGGGGAGACTTGTTCCGCAGATCCAATGCCGAGGGAAGTATTCTTCATGACAAACTAGGCAAAAAGGGAATGGAGGCCCCTTACTTGAGCAGCCACTATTCAAATAGAGGACCCAACAGCCGTTATTCCAATGGCATTTTGGGAGGGGAACGAGGAAGTAAAATGATGACGAACAGCGCAGCAAGGAACCATGTGGGGAACTCTGAAAGAAGAGCACCATTGCCGGAACAGCATATTGCCAACAGAGAAATAAGTAAGCAGCTCCTGGTAAACTCTGAAAGAATACCACCTCAGCCCGAACTGCATACTCCCAGCAGAGTAACGTTGGACGAAGAGAGCAAGATTGCAGTCTAACGACGTATGTTTCTGTACTGTATTATTAGAACCTATACGATTTATTCCTAGGACTACATACCATACATAATTAGAATATTATTTATTATCTATCGGCATACCTACCTATAGTACAAACAGTTTTGAGGTGCCGTACATCAGTACCGGTACGAAAGCAAAAGAATCCGTCGTAAGCAAAGGATTCCTTCGTACACAGATACGAAAGCAAAATTTCCGGTACGGGGACTCGAACCCCGGTATCCTGCGTGAAAGGCAAGTATGCTAACCACCTACATCATACCGGAAGCGAATCAAATTGACTACAACGACACGTTCAAAGAATACATATAAATATTAGGAAGTGGAAGAGTCCTACCAAGTACCGTGGTTCCTACAGTAGGATGACGAGCTGGAAGGGATATTTTCACTATGAATGATTAAATTTTTTAAATGAAAACAGGCGGTATCTCCTACCTTGACAACAATGTGATATTATGAATGAGTAAGCTTCCTCTTTTGGCCTCGTTTCGCTCGATTGTGCTCTGCTTCTGCTGCTGCTGCGTTTTCAGCGGCACCCTTGTACCGCTTGACAAAATCTGCTACTTTGAACTTTCGTTTACACCCAGCATAGTTCATGAATCGAATCTTTCCGAAGATTTCTCTTTCCTTCCAACCCATGTCATGAATTCCCATAATACTCCAACCAACACCAACAAAGCCATTTGGGTCTCGACCATCCAAGGCATACTTGTCGTTGAAGTACAGCGCTGTCTTGAGCGCGACAGCAGGCGACTCGGTCCACTCGAGAATCTTTTTTGCCCAGTACATTCTCAAGAATCCATGCATCTTCCCTTCGTTGACAACTTGCATCTGTGCAGCATTCCAAAGATCGTCATGAGTCTTCGAGGTTTCCAACTCTTCCAACGAATAGGTATATTCTCGTTGATCAGTGCTGTGAAGCTCCAAACTGTCTTGTGCCCACTGCGCTGCCCCAGTCAATTTGTCGTAGTCATCTGGTGTGTAGAACAAGAAATTATCTGAAAGTTCCCTTCGAATTAGCCCCTCTTCAATGAAGGAAGCGCTTCCTGTAGCGTAGCGATTCAATTTCTTGATTGCCATCATTAAGCGCTGGAAACTTATGTGACCATGATTGACCCACGGTGACAATCCCGAACAAATCTGTGTGTAATTGGGGTCATTTCGATGGGAATCAAACTTGGACAAACCAGTAGATATAAAGCTCTCAAATTTTGCTTTTGCTGCTGCTGACCCGGGCACGGCCCATTTCTGGGACGCAACCGACTCGTCCCAGTCCAAGAATGACTTCAGGGCGTCAGAGTCGTAGGCTTGAAGTTCTTGATCTTTCTCTACATGTTCATTCCCCTTGAATTTGGGGAATTTTTGAAGATAGTCAGAGACTACTTTGTGTATCCTTGGCCTCAAAGTACGTGCACCAACCTGTCGTTTATCCGCAGCATGCCAAACTGGAACAACGTTGTGCGCATCGACCTGCCACAAGGGGACCGACGATTTTTCACAGCTCTCGAGAAAACCACCCTCCATCCATTGTCGAACATGACGAAGAGGAGAAAAGTCACAAACAATTGCGCATGGTTTCAATTGTTGGACAATTTGTGACTCAATGGTACTGGAGACCAAACGCTGCGACAAAGGCCTCAAGGCATGAAAAGGTACATTCTTCTCCTTCAACTCTTTGTGGACAATTTCCAAGCCACCCAAGTAGAATTCTCCATGTCGTTGCGTTAGACGCAGGTTTTCCAAGTCTGGAAGACTTTCCTCTTGCGTTTGTGCCGGTGGTGGTGGTAACACATGGATGACATGAAGTGGTACCTTCTGAGTTTCCGCTAGATGACCTGCAAAAAGGAGCGCCCAGTTATCAACCGTTCGGACGTCCCTTTGCATCCAACAGACTACTGTCTTTCCGTCCTCATTCATTTTAACATCTTTCGAAGTAAGCATTCGGGTCCTTTCTTTCAGCATCCAAGAAGGAAGGTTGGCTTTCGGCACAGGTGTGTGTGTTGTGACATACGTCATTGCACTCTTGGAAACAGGAAGTGGTGTACACTTTGACAGACTGGAGAATAAAAAGATGGTAACGAAGTTTGCTGATCCTCTCTTTCCAAATCCTAATAGGTTCATTTGACAAGGAAGAACAAAATTTGCTCATCGAGGAGTCGTTTTTCTCATCATTTTATTACGGATGATGTGTTTTGTTCGGATCTGACTCATCTTTTTTTATATGTGGCTGGTGATTGACAGACGCCATGTGTGAGAGTTGTGAGTGAGTCAGTCAGTCTACGGTGTTCTATTTTCTGCAAAATTCAGCGAGCCGAGGCTCGCTTTTCACATATTTCACACATAACTGCGCACAGGCACTCAACGGATGCAAAAAGACGCAAATCAATGAAACAAGTATGGCGCTGACTCCATTCAGCAACAAAAGCGGGAACAAACAACCGTTGGCATCAGCCCTATCATCGCTGCCTACTTCGTTCCAGAGTCGTCAAACGAAACAACCTTCAAAACAGAAAAGAAATAGCTAGTTCTTCTTGTTGTTTCACTGTCCTCGAGGATGTCGTTCTCTGACATTGGAAAGAGGAGGTTGAATAGAGCCCGTGATGAACAATCTTCGTTTGCCAAACATCAAGCACGAAAACCCACTCCAACTCTCCGTTACTTTTATGGCGACACCAACGATCTCGCCATTTTGGAACCAAGCAAACAAGTAAAAGAGGACTTTGCGAAATCACAACCACAGCGCGGAGTTCGGCCACATTTGAATCATGTTTGTCCAGTGACAGAAAAACCTTTAATGGAAATGGAGTCGCCGAGAGATGAAGACACCAGCGCTGTGACATCCTTTTCGTATGGATTTGATGATGCTGACGATGATGCTTCTTTCCCGGCTCCTGTGAGCACAGCATCTCGCCCAAGACAAGCCGACTCGGAGTTTGCTCTATTGAACAAAGAAATTGTCAATTTCCAGGTAAGGACTTTTTGTGCGCTGCATTACCGTCGTATCCGGAACGAGGCATGATCATCTCACACTTGTTTTGTTAGAAAATGGTTGCGGACTTGGACCAAGCCATGGCAAAGTCAGCGGACTCGCCAGAAGCACAATGGAAAATTCGTATTTTGAGTCGGTCGGCACAAGAAGCCCAGCAAGACATACAAAATCGCCTCTTGGAATTTGGAGAAACTAGTAGACGTCGCAATGATGGCCGAGGTCAGATGGCCATGAGAAAACTGGTGCGGGATTTTGCTCGCGCACAAGAAAATTTTGGAGAAGTAACACAATCGCACATCAGAAAACAACAAGCAGAAGTGTCTCTTTTTCGCTCGACCGTTCCGGAAGAAAGTGAGGAAGAAGAATTTTTTGATCGTGCCATGCGAGAACGAGAGCAGGAAGTCAACAACATTCATCAATCGATGAGGACGGTGAATGAGATTTACCAAGACTTGGCCGACATTGTGGACGGGCAACAGGAAAAAATTGACAATCTCGCCGACCGAGTGGAAGAATCCAAATCCAACACAAAATACGGCTTGGAGCAGATCCAAGACGCTGTCATGGGTATGTGTGCGCCTATGGAGACGGGAGATGCTGGAGATCATTCTTGGTCTGCTGCTATGGATGATGTTTTCGAAATGGCGTCCTCATGCACAGAAAAAATGGGAAAAGTTGTATTCGCTAGCGACGATGAACCTATAGTACAAAGCAAAGGTGGGAAAGACTCGAGTAAGGGTGGAAAAAGCTCAAGAAAAAGTGGAAAAAGCTCAAGCAAGAGTGGAAAACGCTCTATGCGCAAGCAATGAATCTATGACGATGCATTAGACAGTGCCACGTGCTCCCGGACTGTAAATAGCTAGGATCTTGCCCATTTCGACAAAACTTGAAAAATATGAGTCTTTTGTGGGCGCCATGTGAACCAGATACCTCAGTATCGTACTGTATCTCTCCACGTAGTCCAGCACGCTGGCAATGGCGGTGGAGGGGAGCTTGAACTGTTTCGAAGTAGACGACAGTAGTGACTGCCTAAGCTACACCAATACCTTGGTTGGTACTGATACTATCTCGTCATTATGGGCGCCCTGCTACTGTACAGTAGGCTTGACCTCAATTGGCTGAATACCTGCACTGCAGCTACACCTCTGAATGAATCAAAGAACTCGAATGTTCCCTTATGGTGTCTATACTATGATGGTGACTATTCTAGATTAATCTCTACGTCAAATGTTCTCTCCTCATGAGAGGGTACCATATGCGATGATGGGGGGGTTTGTTGGTCATAAGGAAGGAAGATCACCAGGTTTTGTCGTGGCTTGGAACAGGATGGGATGATGTGTACTACTAGATAAAGCACTGATCGCAGCCAAGAAGTGTCTTCAAGTTCTAAAGTATCATCGGCATGTTCGCGACATCAGAATTCACGAAGTCTGGTGGTCTACCGATTACTTGCAAACTTCTGGACATTTGAGGTTGAAGTTCTGAGGATTCCTTCTTTTACATGTGGTGACGTGGCGTCTTTTAAACTGATAAGGTTCAGACATTTGATCTATGACCACCATAAACAAAAATAGCCAGGCACGCGTCGTAGAACGTCGAGACATCACCGTAGTTTGCTCTACGTACACGTGTCATAGATGCATGATGCGTCATGGAACGGTGATCGATAAGCAAACCCTCAACAGACAGATCACCATCTCTCAATACGAAGAGCATTATTGATAATCACTCTTGTGCTACTAGTTGATCAAAAGCATACATACTCCACATCAGCCAACAATGGAATCCTCTGCAGCAAAAACTGATTCGGACAATAATAGCCAGGATGTTTCTTCGGATGAAGAAGGCATCAAAAACATTGGCGATGGGAAAACCAGCGGCAAGAAGAGATCTCTGCCCGCATCAGAAGAGGAAAAGAAGGCGGAACGACGAGCTGCCAATCGACGATCTGCCTTTCAATCAAGACAAAGAAGAAAAATTCTGATTGAAGATTTGCAGCGAACTGTTGCTGGACTCTCCAAGGAAAACACTGACCTTCGCAAGAGCAACGAGGACCTCCGCGTTCAGCTGAAAGCTATCCTTCTGGAAAACCACCAGCTTCGCATGCAGCAGCAAATGCACAATCCTAATGTTGGTGCTACTGATCTCATGCAAGCTTCTGCACTCCTCCGTGGAGGTGGCCAGAACTCCGCCATTGCTCAACTGTTGGGAGCTGGAGGGGTCGCTGGGCAGCTCGGAGGACAGGCCCAGCCCCCAGCCGCAGCGGATGCGTCCGCTGGAAATGCTCCTACAAGTGCTCCCAATGGAGATAATGACTCTCTATTGAACTCAAGACTTGCTCTTGTAGCAGCTCAAGCAAGAGCGGATGAGCTTGGACAGAGTCAAGATGGAGCCACTGCTACAGCACCACCCGCACCATCCAATGCTCCACAAGCGTCAGCGCCCCAGTCCTCCAATGGAAACGCTCCAATGTCAGGAATGGACCAAAACCAAGCCTTCAATGGACTGCAAAGTCTCTTTGATAGTGCTCGACAAGGTGGATTGCAAGGTTCTCTAGGTGGGAATCATCAGCTGAACGTTCTCCAAGGACTTTTGGAAAACTCTGCCTTTGGCGGCGGAGGAGGGGGAGGAGGAGGAGCACCTGGGGGTGCAATGGGAGGGCTGGCTGCCCTGTATGACAGTATTTCCAGGAATCCTGGCATGGGCGGCGGTCGATTGAATGACATCCAACGAGCTTTGTTGGCCTGTGGGGGAGGAAACAATGCAGCAGGAATTGCCGGTCTGACGGCACCCAAGCCTGCCAACAATGGAAACGACAATACGGTTTCCGATGCCTTGCGAAACCTACTGCAAAAGAACCAGCCCTCGTAAGTACACAATACTTACGTTTTATCAAGATCGTCTTTTTGAAACAAGCAAGCTACGAATAATAAGTATTTTAAGACGAAAGAAACTGTTTATATTGTACTGTTGAGCGATTGTAGGATTGACTACGTTACGGGAAAGTGGTCCAAAAGAGCGCTTCAGCGGCCTTTCTACTTGTGTGCTATCCCCTACCACAGTGAAGTGATGGGCGTAACGCACTACTGCAGCAGGTACAACTTTTACCTTGCAGTAAATTGCTGAAAGGAGTGGAGAAAGGTAACTCATTTTATTATTTCTACATATCTTTTCGCTTCATGCAACTGTAAATACAGTAGATTCAGCAATAGTCAAAAGCTCTGATCTCTGATTTTCTCCCAATGAATTATCATGGCTAATATACTGTATGTGGCAGGGTTAATTCAAAGCCTATACAAGTTGCAATTAGATATATTGGATATTTACCAACCATCGAATTTGGCTGTCTTCTTCCAGTTGGGGTGTAGCTGTCCCATATCCTTTTGCTTGATAACGTCATAGAACTTTTGAGTTTCAACTTGGCAGTTATCGTAATGATTCACACCTTCCCGACGGTAACATTCTATAACATCTTCACGAAGAAGGCGGACGGTTTCGTAGGCGACTTGTCGTTCACGGGCACGTTGTTCACTGGCCAAAAGAAACTTTACTGGGTCCTTTGCTCTTCCAGTCTATCAAAACGAGAATCAGGAAAAACAAGATGAGTTTGAAGTCGGCGGGTGAAATTGATGGAATAAAGTAGGGAAACCACTTACATCGCCAGGCCGTCCATGCTCCTCATGAGGATAGGGCTTTAAAGTTCCTTCATGGAACTTGGGTTTTTCTGCAGCGCCTGAAGAAGCCATTGTTGGATTCAATGTCAGTCTATTTGTTGCGTGTCTGTTGTCGTTGTTGTTGCTGTATTCAGGAACGGTTGACAGAAGGACCGCAAAGTGGAGATATTAGGTACTGTACCATTGAAACGATAGTGGGAATATATCATGAATGGCTTTCATAGTTTCTGCAGATAGTATTGGTACCACTTTCTCTATGCCGTTGTACTAGGTCGTCTCTAATAGATTGGGAGCAATTTTATTGGAAGTATTAGTAGCTTTCAGCAAAGTGCCGGTATATCGATGCTTCAATTTATTCTTATGTTTTGCAGCATCCTAAACATTGAGTTGAGTGTCTTCTAGTCCTGATACTTCGGAGCGAACATCTCCGCCTGCGTACCTCCAGCTTCCATCATCGCTATTGTAGAGGAACCGAGATTGTTCCTTCACGATTGTTTCTTTTCCTGTAAGGTCGGACCCAGTATTCTCCTTTGCTCTAATTATCACCTTGAAGGTCATGTATCCCTCGTTTTCCTCATCAGCACTCGGCTCTTCGGGTCCAGCTTCAAGCTTAACAAAATCAAAAGAATCAAACATGCCGCTTTTATTTAGATCCTCAGCCCATTCAATTTTGTCCTCTCTGTAATCGCGACAGACTGGATGCGTTGTTGCTATCACATGCTTGATGTTTCTCCAAGCAAAGGCACTGTAGCGAGACCTCAGAACATCTGTCATCGTCAAGCATGGTGAGCCTCCGTGGAATGGACCACAACACTCTCGATATGATTTCCCCGTCCCGCAAGGGCAAGGCCGCGACTCGGCATCTTGTGGTACCCGGCTACGAAACTTGCCCAATACTTCCTCTAAGGTTGGCGGTGGAGCCCCGAACCCCTTCGGTGTGCTCGCTCTTTTCTTGCCACCGCCCTTCTTCTTTGCAGCAAACGCATAACTACAATCGAGCGTGACTAGCAATAGGACTAGAGCGACAAAAAAGCTGCGATAACTGACCATGAATGTTTGTATTGTCAGATTTTAATGAGGACTGATGTGTCAGAATCATCCGCTCCGACGCATTATTATTTTGATGTATTGGTCGAACAAGTCAAAACTGCAGGCGAAACCATTTTATTTTTTTGGTCGTTGAAAGAAATGCTGCACCGCTACCACAGTATAATGGCAAGCCAATCAGGCAATCTACAGTATCCTATTGATGAAATACACCATAAATTGATAGATTTCAGTGGTTGACAATAGAGCAGAAGGATTGCTCCAATTCGTTCCTTCTTCCTATCAGCTCATCTGGGCTTGTTCCGAACAGCAAGGCCTCCATTTCAACTTAAAATGCAGCCATTTTCAGGATGGAAGGTCTTGACAATATCCTTATTTTCTCACTGGTCGTGTTTCGATTTATTGCCTTGGTAATTATTTCCAACGCTCCAACGGAATCATGTGCATTTCAAGATTTCCAAATTGCTTTCCACCTTGTCATCTTACAAAATGATGCGAACTCGTCTGTCATTTGACGTTCGCCTGTTATCTGGGTTGTACTTGGTACATTCGACATAGAGTAAGCTTTCATATTGCTGGATCATGTTTGGTTTTGGGAGGAATTTGAACCAAGCTCCCAGGTTGTAGTTGGTATCTTTGTGCCCGTCCAACTCTTCTTGCTGCCGCTTTCCAGCTTTGTAGCCATTGAGTGATATTTCATTTGGCTCAAGGCCCTCCTTGCGCATTGCGTATGCCACTCTTACTGCAGTGTCTGGTCGAATGGCACGGCCGCAGACGTACAAGAGTCCATTGTATGCAGCAATCAGGTTCTTTTTCGGACGCCTGGAATTTGGAATAGCCCTTGTTCTTGATCTCGATTCATGTTCTATACATGCCATTCGCATTTCTTCCTTCCAGAATTTAACTGCTTGCTCTAAGTTGCCTCCAAAACAGCGCAAAACTGCATTCACAAACCGGCCATCCGCTGGAATTCCATCGCTTGTAGCATTCCGAAATAGGCTCATTGCAATTGAAGGGTCGACAGATTCGATCTGTGAGGCCGATGCTGCGACCAAGCAGTAACTCTGAGAATTTGGTTTTGGGGCTTCGACTCCCTCCCTCATGCCATTCATTGCACTCAAAAGAGTTTGAGCTGCATCGGCACAAGTCAGGCCATCAACAAGTGAAGATATGCCTTTACCTTCAAGGACATGTCTCTTGGACGAGATTGTCGAATTGATGTCCAAGATACTGTTGCCTTGTTTTGCACCCTCTGATAGAGCTCCAAGAAGAACGTTCCAGACTCGATTATTGTAGGACTGAAATGCAAACTGATCAAAAACTCTGCAAGCCTGCGATGGATCCCCCAGACGACCAAGGTAAGTAATAGCACATCTTATTACGGCAGGACTCAAGGACGCTGTCGAACCATTCATGAGTTCAATAATCTCATCAGAAGAGATACAAAGACTTATCATGGACGAGAGGGTGTATGGGTCCTGTTCCACACCAAATGACACAACCTTTCGGCACAACTCTCTTCCCTGTGTGAGCGCAGCCACTTTGGTGGGATCCAGATCCAGGTTATCAAAAGTACCGGATGGATTCTCGAGTGTTTTCTGGATCAATGCCAGCTGATCCTTGCTCAGGCTAAGTTGTGCAATCTTGCTGTAACCATCAAGAAGGATGTTAAAGTGCCGAGTGCATGGAGTCACCGATGAGACTGATGATTCATCCAAAGCGCATCTGTCGAAAAGGTTTCGCGCGGATTCGATGTTTTCCTGTTGCACTAGAGTGACCAAAAAGGCTGCTAAAGCTTTGCTCTTGTCTCGTTCCGATTTGTCGGTCAGAAACTGATCAACCATACTTTGAAGATCGTCATATCGACCAGCTCGGATCAAATGATTGCTCACCAAATCAATTGTGAAAGCATCGGGAGAGATATTCCTGCTTTCAATTTCCTCGAGTATGTCAAAGCACTCGGCCCTGGATGAAGCCCCGGATGAAGCCTTCAATCGTGCATTGTACGACACAATGTCTGGTTCGACCCCTCTTTGGCCTTTTAAGTCTTGCCAAACGCGCTCCACTAAGGTTGTGTTCCTCACCCTTGCTGCCCCATCGAGTAAGATATTGAAGGATGTCACGTCAGGTGTCACACGAAACAATCTTTGTGCCATACTGGGCTGCATCCATTCCCAGATACGAGCAAGAGTAGGATCATTGGGGCTACCAATCGAGCTGCATAAAGAGGATAGATATATGTTCCAGGCAACAGCATCGATGTCAGTGTCCAACTTCGTCCCTATCTCAGCCAAGTCATAGATAAGTCTTTCAAGCTCTTCGAGACGACCGCTCTGCCGCAATGCACTGCAAGCAGCAATGTAAGCTCTGTTCGATGGTAGATATGAAGATTGTAGCATGTTGGTGAGGATATTTGTTGAAATCGAAACAAGTCCTGCTAAGCTTGTTGCAGTGATAACACGCTCTTGAATTGGGCGGCATTCTTCGTTCACAATATCAATCTTGTTCAAAAGATTTCCAACATAAGAAATCTTATCTTGTGTTTTGGCTTCCAAGAGCATCCTCATAGCATTCAACAATACACTTGAGGCCCTTCTTTCGCTTCCTTCCTTCTGACCATAATATTCAATAGATTTGACAACGCGGTGCAGTCTATCACTATTCACGCGAAGCCTTGCTAGTCTAGAGCTTTCTTTTCCATTTCGAGATAAAGCATCCAATTGAAAAGTGGTTGGAACGGCAAAGTTTTTGTAAGGGACCAAAGACTTTACTTCCAGAAAAGCCAGAAAGAGGAAGATGGCGCGAATGATCGCCCTTGATCGGCTCGAAAGCATCATTTCATTCTTGATTTGCCTTGATGTACAATATCAAGTAAACTTTGGAAATCATTGGTTGGCACTGCCACCTGTCACTACCACGCTTTCAAAAGATTTAAGTTCCATCTCTTTTTACTCGAAGTGGTCGATTTATAAATATTTGTGAGCACCAAAATGAAAATTCTCGCTGTGTCGCAAGTTCGCCAACCGATGACGTGTGCACAATCGAAAGTTTGGGCGGACGTTTGATATCGCACCCCTACACTATCACCATCTCTGTAGAATTCAGATACAAATAGACATCAACGATGGCAGGAAGAGGACCGCCAGGAAGTGGCGAGCAAATGCCTATGTTTCAGACATCTCAACCTGTAAGTTTATTATATTTGTTTCAATCATTGTTGTGCTTGCAATATGCAGGAATCTGATCACCACATGTCATGGTTGGGTCGCCTTTTTACTTCCTACTTCCACTGTTGTAGGACGCTGTAACAAGCGGGAATTTCAATGCACTTGATCTCGATGATCTGTTTGTTGACTGCTATTTTGATGTTCCAGGTATGCCAAATAATGGCGCAGCCAATTCAGCTTCGGCATCTCCGGTTCCAGCGGCTCCACCAGCGAGTGCTGGTGATGCAGCCGGTTCCGGTGGAACACATAAGAGAACAGCTTCCGATGCCGATTTGGACGACGAGGGTGGTAACAAGGAGCTAACAGCAAAGCAAAAGCTAGAAAGGCGTGAAAGAAATAGAGAGCACGCAAAGCGTAGTCGACTTCGAAAGAAGTTCCTTCTTGAAAGTTTGCAGGAGCAGATTCATGCTTTGCAAGAGCAGATGGAGAATTTGAAGGGAGCAATCAAGAAAGAATTACCTCACAAGGCTGACGTAATCATCAACGGTATATGCGGTGACAATGAAAAGTATACACCTCTTCCTATGCCAAGCGGATTTGGCCCAGTCAAGACTCTGATGGAACCAGATTTTCGTCTTATGTCCGCGCTATCCGGATCCCAACAGAACTTTGCCATCAGTGACCCTACTCTTCCAGACAATCCTATCGTCTACGTATCACAGGGATTCCTCGATCTGACAGGATACACTCTGGACCAAGTTTTGGGAAGAAATTGTAGATTCCTTCAGGGTCCGGGGACCGATCAAAGCGCTGTGGATGTCATCCGGAAGGGAATCAAGGAGGGAATTGACACTTCTGTATGCTTATTGAACTACAAGGCAGATGGAACTCCCTTCTGGAATCAGTTCTTTGTTGCCGCTCTTCGGGATGCTGCAAACAATGTTGTGAACTACGTCGGGGTACAGTGTGAGGTTTCGAAAGCAGTGGTTGAAAAACACATGGGAGAGAAAAAGAAGTAATTATTGTTTGTATTTAAAAGTCTATTGTAATTGGAAACAGTAAAATCTAGTAGCTACCTGCAGCGTGGCATCGACCTAGTTAGAAGAGAAAAGTAGCATCAACTGCTCGTGCGGGTTCAACAGATTGTTCAATGGCGGCCATCCAGAAAGTTTTATTTTGTCCGCACTTTCTACGAGTCGCGCCGTAAGAAAACCACGCAAAATTCGTGGCCCGTGTAGGCTAACTACGGCGCGAAAACCGTTTGGTCTTGGAAAATTAATTCCCGGAAATGTAGTGTTAGTGGTTATAGACTGTGTAACATTTAGAAAGGGCGTTCGTATAATTATGATAACTGTGTTGATACGTCTGTCTGTCCAAAAAACAGAACGTGAAGCTTAACGTGACAACGTTGTGCTCCTGGCTCTCCTCGTAGAGAGAGCGTACTAGTGCGTTGATGTAGCTACTGTTGGACATGATAGACGGTGATTGATATTGCTAATGGGGTGTATTTACGGGGGT